TAGAGGAGGATGTTGATTCTGAATTGATCGTTATTGGTTGGGGTGCCGCTATCACTGAAGGTATGAGATAAAGTTGTCATTGTTAATGAATAACACAAAACGAATTTTGACCAATTATTTAATGAAATTATTTAAATATCTTTTCGAAGGACCCAATTCAAACAAGTTACTGAAGACGAATTTAACAACAGTTCCACTGTCCGAATGTAATTCAACTCTTTTGGAGTGGAACAAAGAGTACAATTCACCATCGTTTGAAAATGGCATCAGTGAAGGACAATATTGTGCAAATGATCCAGAAGGAAGAAGAGATTCTTGCCATGGAGATAGTGGAGGTCCTCTTCAGTATTTCCCCAACACCAATTCAAGCAGAGCGACCATAGTTGGCATTGTTTCATTTGGTGTGAATTGTGCAACCACATTGCCAAGCGTCTATACTCGTGTGGCTTATTACATTGATTGGATTGAATCCATCGTTTGGCCGCCAGAACAAAATAATTAATTATTATAAACTGACGTTAGATAGTTTAAATATATAGGGGAGGACGGGGCGAATCGCCACACTTTTTCTTGGAGTCAAATATCTCGGCAACTATAACTCATAATGACAAATGTCTGGTATCGTTTGGAAGGTGGTTTCAATACGCAACTTTTGTAGAAGAAACTTTTTTGTTTTGTTGATACCACTTCAACATATGGCATTGCGCGTAAAATTGGAAATAATGGGGCGAACCGCCTATAGCGGGGCGAATCGCCTCACCTTCAAATTTTCAATTTCAAATCATTCTCTCATCTCACATATGAGTAATAAAACATAATCATTTCTATTTTAATTATATTTCTCTATCTTTACTTGATTATTATTAATAAGAAACTGTGTAAAACATTGAGGGCACTCAATAATAGAGAGATGTAAAGTATTTTTGAAGTATTTTGAGACTGAGAATCCGAATTTTTGCGTTTCCTTTAAAAACAATCATAGATTGAGGGGCTATGACCTGTTATGACCCCCTGAGGCTAGGGGAATTGAATGGCAGCTGATCGAAAAAATTCTTTCATCATTCTGAACAACTTTGTAGTAAATCATTTTTTTATTATTGTTTCTGCACATCCAATCGATCTGTATAGGTGAAATTAGAAAAAAAAATCTGATTGTTTGTGCATTTTACTGGTGAAAACGCAATGTGAGTGCGGCGATTCACCCCGAAGACGAAATTTCACGCCAAACCCGATATCACACAAAAAACCAAAAACAATCCGAAAATGTTCGTACCCGCTAGAAAGCACTTGACTTAAGCTACAAATAACACTCACTCTTTTTTCAGAAAAATAAAAATTAATGCACAAAAGTCAAAATTCTAGAAAGGCAAAACAAATGTGAAAAATCGAAAAACATTTTTATGCTTCTAAAAAGTTATTGACGTAATGAAAGTCCAATATCATTACCTCCAATTATGGAGGACATAAAACACTTCAGATGATATATGACAGTTGGATGTTCTGGATCACATTCTCGAGATAAGTCGACTGCGGCGATTCGCCCCGTCCTCCCCTTTATATGCGTTCCCTATGATCCATATGAAATGTGTGAGAATGCTTAATTCCAATGCATCGCACAAAACGAAGATGTAACACAATCTTTTTGCGATGAATCTATAGTTTTTTTCCTACATTTTTTTTATTCACTTGAAATGGACATAATAAACACGATAATATTCACATTTTATACTATTTGCGGCAAACCAACAGCAAAATCTTGTATACACTTGCATACTGTTTTTTTTTTGCGTATTACAACACTTTACTACATTGGATTGCCGACATTTCATTGCTCGTACAAACCATGGCAAGTGGAAGTTGTGCAGCTTGTTTTTGTTTCTCAATGAGTGCTTCTTGTACGTTGCGTACGATCAGATTCTGTCTTATTAACACTTCACATATCGTTCGTATTTTAGGTTGATAAGCAGTTTAAGATTTTGAAATGAATCTACTGTTTGATAAAGAAGAAAAAAATTAGCGAGAAATTACGACCAAATGACAATTATGGATATTGGCCATATATGAGCCAATTGCAAGTTTTTTTCACGAGTATTATTCTAATGCTTCTTTCTAAATAAATATGTACTCAGACTCACGCAATATTGTACTATACAGCTTTTAAATGTCAACAAATCACCCTTTTAAATTTTTCACGAAAAATATATACATTTTACAATAAATTTTGTCATTTTAAATTTGAGATCTCAAACTCAAATAGAGAAATCGCATTGTTTAACAGTCTTTGATCACTTGGTATGCTTTGCTTGAATTTTTCCAATGTACAAAATATATATTTCACCAACAATATATGTCATCATTCAAACATAAACAACTTAACAAAACGAAGAAAAATACAATTACGGATTTTTCTATAAAAAGAATCACATCCGTTTTTATTCCATTCCATTTGAATTGATTCGATCCGATAGATACAATAACTTTACACAGATTATGAGCTTGGGACTTTTTTATTCTCCACAGAGACGGTTGATTTTATCGCAAGCTTTGCATCAATATTTGCACTACACGACGCACAATCGGTGTTAACGATAAAAGAAATGCATTGCGAATTTGTCGATCATGTCACACACAAGAAGAACACAAATTCCGAGCAGAAACGTGATTTTTATATGATGCTATCCCAAAAAACATTTGTTGTGGCAAATTCATCCATTATCGGGCATATG